ATCGATTTAGCATGTCTAACTCAAAGAAAGGATCTTTACCTATGACACCTGGCACGGTTCTTTCCAAGAGCCAGAGTCCTTCTACTCCCGAGCAAAAGGAACTCATGATGAAGGTTCCATACGCCTCTGCGATTGGATCCATCATGTACGCCATGATATGTACTAGACCTGATGTCTCATTTGCTTTAAGCGTGACCAGTAGATACCAGGGAAGTCCAGGAGAAGCACACTGGACAGCGGTCAAGAACATCCTCAAGTATCTTCGCAATACTAAGGATGCATTCCTGGTATACGGTGGTGAGGAAGAGCTAAAGGTGGTCAGTTACACTGATGCTAGCTTCCAAACCGACAGAGACGATTCAAAATCACAAGCAGGATATTTGTTTTGCATGAATGGCGGAGCTTTTAGTTGGAAGAGCTTTAAGGAGGATACAACCACCGATTCGACTACAGAGGCTGAGTACATAGCTGCCGCTGAGGCAGCAAAAGAAGCTGTTTGGATCAAGAAGTTCATTACTGAACTTGGAGTGGTTCCTAGTATTAATGACCCTATCTCGTTGTTTTGCGACAACACTCGGGCCATTGCACAGGCAAAGGAACCGCGATCTCACCAGAAAACCAAACACATTGTACGACGCTATCACATCATACGAGAAATCGTAGATAGAGGAGATGTGATGATTTGCAAAGTAGATACTGGAGACAACATAGCCGATCCCTTGACCAAGCCTTTAGGAAAGCTAAAGCATGAGGGTCACACTAGGTCCATGGGCATTCGACCGATGCAAGATTGGCCATAGTGCAAGTGGGAGATTGTTGGAGTTGTGCCCTGATGGCCAACTGTTTATCATTATTCTATCATCTATAGGCAGATATAATATGTTTACACATCTCATGCTAATGTAAACAAATATTATATTCCTAGATTTATATTTAAAGATGTTTATCAGATAGTGTTATTCTGCTGATGAGACTAACATCTTGAAATAAATATTTATCTGAATGTCCATAGTCGAGTATTAACGAGAGTGGGATATCGTTAATGCATGTGAGACTAGTGTGTGTTGGATGTTTGACTTAGTCTCATAGTCAATGAC